GGGGGGAAAAAACCCTGTTTTAATTGAATTTTCTGGAAGCACCTCAAGCTCAATTAAACTCTTAGTAGAAGAAATTTAGCCTTTATTTTCTATCATTTATTTATGTTATTGATATCTTAATTTTAAATTATAAAAACAGGATAACCACATTGTAGAAAATATGAAAAAAAAATTCATTGCTTTACTATCTTAAAACTCTCTTACTTTGGTGCTTGGGGAACCATCACCAAGCATAGTTGTCCCAGCAATAATAAACATATGTTTTGGTAAAAACACATAGTTTTATAATTGTTATCAATAATAGTTATCGGTATATTATCTCTTAGATCTAAATCATCATGCATTGCGTGCTCCGTGAAAATGGACCTGTGCCCTTTAAATTTGTTTCCTTTGGCAACTAGGCAGATGTTAAATTGTGTCAGTAGAGGGCGCTGGAGAGACACTGCGAGAGGAAGATTTTCCCTTCCTGGTTCTGGTGCGCTGGCTTTGTGGCTTCTTGAGTGCCTGACCCTTGCAGTGTAAGTGTTCATCCAGCTTCTGTCCCATGCAGTGCCCAGATCCTAAAGCTTATGTGGCTTCTCCATTGCCAGCTCCTTCACTACTGCAGTCAGCAGCACCAGTGGCCATTAGCTTTCCACTCCAGGTGATCACTTTTCCTTGGCATCCTAGAGGGCAGATTAAGGACAAGTTCCTAAGGGTGTTTGATATTCACTCTTGCCATCTCCTGTTTGACAGCTTCCAATTTACCTTGATTCATGGCCCTAACATTCCAGGTTCCTATGCAAAATTCAGACTTAAATTGAGGAAAGTAGGGAAAACCACTAGACCATTTAGGTATGACCTAAATCAAATCCCTTACTATTATACAGTAGAAGTGACAAAATAGATTCAAGGGATTAGACCTGATAGACAAAGTGCCTGAAGAACTATGGATAGAGGTTCCTAACATTGTGTAGGAGGTGGTGATCAGAGCCATCCCCAAGAAGAAGATATGCAAAAAGGCAAAATGGTTGTCTGAGGAGGCCTTACAAATAGCTGAGAAAAGAAGAAAAATGAAAGACAAAGGAGAAAAAGAAAGATATATCCATTTGAAGAATAGTGAGGAGAGATAAGAAAGGCTTCCTAAGTGATCAGTACAAAGAAATAGAGGGAAACAATAGAATGGGAAAGACTGGAGATCTCTTCAAGATCATTAGAGATACCAAGGGAACAAAGATAGGCATGATAAAGGACAGAAATGGTGTGGACCTAACAGAAGCAGAAGATATTAAGAAGAGGTGGCAAGAATATACAGAAGAACTATACAAAAAAAAGATCTTAATGACCCAGATAACTACAATGGTGTGATCACTCACCTAGAGCCAGACATCCTGGAGTGTGAAGTCAAGTGGGCCTTAGGAAGCATCACTATGAACAAAGCTAGTGGAGGTGATGGAATTCCAGTTGAGCTATTTCAAATCCTAAAAGATGATACCGTGAAAGTGCTGCACTCAATACACCAACAAATTTGGAAAACTCAGCAGTGGCCACAGGACTGGAAAAGGTCAATTTTTATTCCAATCCCAAAGAAAGGCAATCCCAAGGAATGCTCCAACTACTGCACAGTTGTACTCATCTCACATGCTAGTAAAGTAATGCTCAAAATTCTCCAAACTAGGCTTCAACAGGACGTTAACCAAGAACCTCCAGATGGTTAAACTAGATTTAGAAAAGGCAGAGGAACCAGAGGTCAAATTGCTAACATCCATTGAATCATTGAAAAAGCAAGAAAGTTCCAGGAAAACATCTACTTCTTCTTTATTGGCTACAGTAAAGCCTTTGACAGTGTGAATCACAACAAACTGAAAAATTCTTCAAGAGATGGGAATACCAGACCACCTTACCTGCCTCCTGAGAAACCTGTATTGCAGGTCAAGAAGCAGCAGAACCAGACATGAACAACAAACTGGTTCCAAACTGGGAAAGGAGTATGTCAAGGCTGTATATTGTCACCCTGTTAACTTACATGTAGAGTGCATCATGCAAAATCCTGGGCTGGATGAAGCACAAACTGGGATCAAGATTGCCGGGAGAAATATCAATAACCTCAGATACAGCGATGACACTGCCCTTATGGCAGAAAGTGAAGAGGAACTGAAGAGTTTCTTGATGAAAGTGAAAGCAGAGAGTGAAAAGGCTGACTTAAAACTAAACATTCAAAAAGCACAGATCACAGCATCTGGCCCCATCACTTTGTGCCGAATAGATGGGTAAACAGTGGAAACAGTGACAGACTTTATTTTTTTGGAGCTCCAAAATCACTGCAGTTGATGAGTGCAGCCATGAAATTAAAAGATGGTTGCTCCTTGGAAGAAAAGCTATGACCAACCTAGACAGCATATTAAAAAGCAGAGACATTACTTTGCTGACCACGGTCCGTCTAGTCAAAGCTATGGTTTTTCCTGTAGTCATATACGGATGTAAGAGTTGGACCATAAAGAAAGCTGAGTGTTGAAGAATTGATGCTTTTGAACTGTGGTGTTGGAGACGATTCTTAAGCATCCCTTGGACTGCACGGAGATCAAACCAGTCAATCCTAAAGAAAATCAATCCTGAATATTCACTGGAAGGATTGATGCTGAAGCTGAATCTTTGGCCATCTGATGCAAAGAGCTGACTCATTAGGGAAGACCCTGATGCTGGAAAAGATTGAAGGCAGGAGGAAAAGGGAACGATAGTAGACGAGATGGTTGGATGGCATCACTGACTCAATGGACATGAGTTTGAGAACACTCTGGGAGTTGCTGATGGACAGGGAAGCCTGGCATGCTGCAGTCCATGGGGTCGCAAAGAGCTGGACACGACTGAGTGACCAAACTGAACTGAGCCAATCTTTTGGGCTTCCCAGGTGGCACTAGTGGTAAAGAACCCACTTGCTAATGCAGGAGACACAGGTTCAATCTCTGGGTCAGAAAGATCCCCTGGAGAAGGGCTTGGCAACCCACTACAATATTCTTGCCTGGAGAATCCCATGGACAGAGGAGCCTGGCGGGCTACATTCCATAGAGTTGCAAAGAGTCAGATGACTGAAGCGACTTAGTACAGCACAGCCAATCTCTCATTACTACAATTCCCTCTTATTGTTAATGATTCTTTATAGTAAACTTTCCCTGTTCAAATAACTATGGCTTGTCTCTCCTGATTGGACCCAGACTAATAGTATTTTTAACCCAAAATTTTCAGTCTGTGATAAGTTTTTGTACATTCTTTTTGTTCAGTAAGTTTAAATTAGCTAGTATGTATTTATCCTCTTATTTACAAAGTCATTTCATATCTATTATTCTTTAAATTATGTTTTTAAAAGCAACCTTTTATTCTTCTTGGTTTAAAGTCTTAGCTTCTGTTTAATCCTTTTGCTTTTGTGGTTAATTGTTTTTATGTCCTATTGAAAAACTCTTTGCCACTCCAAGGTCAGGAAGATGTTCTCCCAAGTTTTCTTCTAAAATTATACTGTTCTACCTTTCACATTTAGATCTGCAGTACATCTGGAATTTATTTTTTGTATGAGAAGTGTGAGGTTGGGGTCCAGATTCATTTTTTTCCCCATGTAAATTAAATATCCAGTTGATCCATTTACCTTTATTGAATACACTGTCCTTTTCATACTGTATTCAGGGTCATGTTTGTCATAAATCAAGTGGCTAAATGTTAGTTTGTTCTTGGAATCGTATTTGTTCTACTTCTTTATCTTCTTCTTAATAGGCCTTGATATCTAGTTGTATAAATATTCTAGTTTTGTTGGTACACAAGATGTCTTGACTCTTTTTGGCCTTTTAAATTTTCATATAAAGTTTAGAATCAGGTTATCAATTTGTCCCCAGAAAACCTGCTAGGAGTTTTATTAGTATTATATCTTGCACACCTTTTGTTAGATTTGTACCTAGGTATATGACTTGTGTTGAGGATTATTGTAAATTGTATCAGTAGCACCACAGCTGCAGTTAGATTGTCAGTCTAACTTGAGTCAGCAATGTCTTTAATTTAATACTGTATTTCCTTAGCTGTATATAGAGATAGGGTAGGTATAAAATCTATCTTATCTGGATGCCCAGTTGTACTCAAATACACAGTCAAGTAGAAAGAAAGAATTCATCAGGAGTACAGACAAAAAAGGAAGTCACGTACAAAAAATTCAGACTAGCTTTAAAGTTTTTCATAGTAATATTCAGTCTGGAAGACAGTATAATAATACTTAAAAACTTTTGAAAAAAAGACACCAAAATTTTATAACTAAGTTATCTTTTGAGTATAAAGCAAAAGACAATATTCTCAAGCACTTAGGAGGTCAAGGAATACAGTACCTATAAATCCTTGAAGAAACTGCATGAAGATGAATGATGAAATCTAAACAAGTAAAATGTTTTTTTTTAAAGGCAAAATGGACCGCTCTTTCAGAAGCATTGGTATAAGCTGCTTTTTCCAATTCAATTTTTGCTGTTATCTTTGAGGTTTATTCTGAGATACTTTTGTTTTTTACCCTGAGAATTTAGTTCCTCTAGTAGATGTTCTGGTTGAAAATTCTTAGTTTCATTTGTCTGAAGGTATCTTTGTTTTGCTTCAATTTCTGTAAGAGATTTTTGTTGAGGAGAAAATTAATTTCCTTTAGCACCTTGTAAATATCTTTTCATCATCTTTCTAAGAAGTCACCTACTTAATTTTTGCTAAAGGCTAATTGCGTATCTTTAAGTGCATATGTGTGTGCTCAGTCACTCAGTGGTGTCCATCTCTTTCACGGACTGTAGCCCCGCCAGGCTTCTCTGTCCCTGGGATTTTCTAGACAAGAATACTGGAGTGACTTGCCGTTTCCTTCTCCATAGGATCTTTCCAACCCAAGGACCAAACCCATGTCTCCTGCGTCTTCTGCATTGGCAGGTGAAATCTGTAGCACTGAGCCACCTCCTTTTAATTTAAATTAATATTGATTAATCTCATTATCTTCTTGTGCTTTTCTTTTTGTGTAGGGAATACAGTGAGTAACCTGATTATGATTTTACCTCCAATTTTTGGTGCGATGCAGAGTGTTAGAAGTGGACTGGAAAAGCGGTACATTGCTTCCTATTTAGCACTCACAGGTATGTATAACACTTCATCTAAAAATGATGTAAAAAAAATAATGTACAGTATTCAGTTGGTTTTTCTTATTCATTCCTAAAATTGTTTCTTGATTTTGTGTTGTTTATTATACAACTTGAGCATATTCTGAAACTTCTGAATTAAACTACACAAATCTTGCCAGTATTTGAACTGTTTTGAGTAAATTAAAAAAAAAAAAAAACAACACAAGATATTTCAAGCATCCAGAAAAGAACAAGGATAATATAACAAATATACCTATGTATCCTACCATCCTGCTTTGTCAGATCTTAATATTTTGCAATATTTGTTTCAGATTTTACTTGTTCCTTTTTAAAGAAATAAACTTAAAAAAAAAAGAAATAAACTTATAAAGTTAACACTCCGTTTGTACTCCTGCCTGATTTTATTCCCATCTTCCTCCCTGCCCACCCTGCTAGAGTTATAAAACTTTTTGTAAAGAATGTCGTATTGTATCTAACTTTTTACAGCTTATTCCTATTCTTCTACTTGTCTATTAGACAGGGACTGCGTCTTAGTTATCTTTGTATACTGATTTTTTGGCAAGTTAGTAGTCCTTAATAAATGTGACATGGAGGATAGTGAACTTTATCAGAGTCTAAGATGGGAAAATCACTCTTTCATTTTCTTGCATTATCATCATAAAAACAAAACTAGCAAAGAAAGTAGGTTCTAGTCTATTTTTTATATAACTTTCTAAGCTAAACATTTTTTTTTTAATTTTAGTTCAAGGTAGATGTTGTTTACACAGTAATGTTTATCTAATTACCACAAAACTGTAAGATATAGTGTATCATATCTGATTCTATATAATTATATTAGTTACTGTGTATGAGAGAGTTTTTCCAGTGGTCATGTATGGAAGTGAGAAATGGACTATAAAGAAAGCTGAGTGCCAAAGAATTGATGCTTTTGAACTGTGGTGTTGGAGAAGACTCTGGAGAGTCCCTTGGACTACAAGGAGATCCAACCAGTCCATCCTAAAGGAAATCAGTCCTGAATATTCATTGGAAGGACTGATGTTGAAGCTGAAACTCCAATACTTTGGCCACCTCATGAGAAGAACTGACTCATTTGAAAAGCCCCTGATGCTTGGAAAGATTGAAGGTGGGAGAAGGGGACGACAGACGATGAGATGGTTGGCTGGCATCACCAACTCAATGGACATGAATTTGGGTAAACTCCTGGGGTTGGTGATGGACAGGGAAGCCTGGCATGCTGCAGTCCATGGGGTCACAAAGAGTCAGACACAACTGAGCAACTGAACTGAACTGATGAGAGAGTTTAGTTTTTTTATCTCTTACATATGTGGTGTTTTGAGAAAATTACTTGATTGATCTTCAGTAGGAAGACTTGTTCACAAACTTAACCCTTTGCTTTATTTCCTGGGGTGTTTTAAGAATGTTTGTAAAATACAGACAAATCACAATCAGTAATAACAAAAGAAGTTTTGAGGGACTTCCAAGTTGCCCTAGAATAATACTGACCTTCTCAGTTAGAATTTGTCCTCTCATCATTGTAGACAACCATGCAGTTGAAGAAGGAAAGTAAATAAGCCACTTTTCGCTCACACTTTCAACCTTACTGAAAGAAAAAGAATACTATAAACTTCAAATAATTTTTAAACAAGAAATAAATATAAAATTCTAACAGAACTGTCTTTAATGTTTTAGACTTTGGGAGATTTGAAAAACTATATGGAAAAGAAGAGAGAGGAGTTGAGGACTTAATCTGACAAAACAACAAGAGAAAGGGAAAGCTTCACGATAAATTCAAAATTTCTGAAAACATTCTAAGACCTGGTAAATCATAGTAGTGGCTAAAGTACACAGTACTTTAAAGTACGCAGTAGGGGACTTGAAAGTATGCGAGGCCTAACGTGGCAGTTTTGAAAAGGTATTGCTTCTGGGAAAGAAATAACTAGAAAGAGGGAAGATAGCCTTTGGAGATGTGTTGGAAAAGAATGAAGTTAGAGGCAGAAATTAAGATCCTACTGAAACAAAACAACTAAAATACATTAGACCCTTCTCCCTGCTTGGCCCTCCATAAAGCAGAAAGAAACTGCAGCACAATATTCCTAACTGAATTAGCCTCAAACCAAAAAAATGGATAAAAATTTAAAAACTAATAAAATTAAACTAATTAGTTTTAAACACCAATAAAAATTAATTAAAAATATTAACGGAAATAGCTTCCTCACCTCCCAAAAGAAATAAAATTAAATTGATTAAACTTAGGAAGAAATGAATCCTGAATTACAATGTGTTGAGTATTTAATAAAGACTATTTAAGAAAGGAAAAAGAAAAAGAGACACAGCAAGAGAATGAAAATGAGATAAAGAAATAAAGAGTCAGAGAAAAAGTGATTGAAATGGAACATGGGCAAAGAAGATTCAATAAGATTGTAATTGAAGTTCCTGAAAAAGGAAAATAAAACAATGATACAGATCTTATATACAGAACTATAGTTTTAAAATTAATTTGAAAGAGGACTTTTTGAAAATGGAAGACCTGAATCTAGATTTTGAAAGGTGCATTTTTGTATTGTAAAACTGACTTGGAATGGTCAACTCTGAAAAAGACTAGTAAAATTACTGGATTTTAAAAATAAAAATAAATTCTCACAACTCTAGGGAAAAAGACCAGATTACTCATAAGGGCAAGAAAATTAGGCTGGCACTAGACGTCAGCAACATAAAAAAGAAAAGCATCAGTGTAACTGCATTTTTAGTGCAAACCAAGGATTTTAAATTCTAACCAAATTGTTTTTCAGGTATCCAGGTTGTAGAAAAGTAGTTTTAAACATACAAGTACTCTTTGAAAACTGCACACATGACTCCTTCCAGATGAATCCATGAGTATTGCTCTGTTTAATTTAGTAGCTGCTAGCCACATGTGGCAGTTTAAATTTAAATAAGTGAAAGTTAAATAAAATGTAAATTTCAGTTCCTCTGTCACATTAGCCATGTTTCAAGCACTCAGTATCCATATGTGGCTTATGGTCGCCACATTGGGCAGTGCAGGTATAGAACATCACCTTCATTACAGAAAGCTCTATTGACTGCATTGACTGGAGAATGATGTTCATTCAACTAGGAGAAAACTAGGCAGACTTGGGCAAAATGTCTGATAATGAACTTTTAATACATTTAACTATAAATCTAAGATTAAAACAATGATGGGATAAGGACCGAAGAATAGTGTATGGACATTATATGGTCTAGTGAAATAGAATAACAGAAGATTTTAATATGCTACATTCAGTACAAGACAAATGGGGTGAACAAAATATATCAACCATTATCTGGAAGACCTAAAGAGCATAACCGATAAAGTAGATCTTATGGCTTTATGCTGAAGTTTACACCCTGATAACAGAATATACACTCTTTTGAAGTACACATGGAACATTTATAAAAACAGTAAGTTCTATTAAGTAGAAATATTAAAACAACATCCTCTGGTCACAGTGCATCCATGCTAGAAATTAACAACAAATTCAAACCATAAAAAAGCTCTTGCTCTTTAAAATTTTAAATCTTCTACTAACTCTTGGTTGAAACGGAATATAGAAATGGAAATTACAGGATTCCTAAAATACAGTTGCAACAAAAAGTCTGCATATCAGAATCTATGGGGATTTATATAAAGCCACCATCAGAGGATAATACACAGGCTTAAACAAATAATAATAAAAGACAAAAATGAAAAGTGAAAAATTAATTAAAATCTCAACTCTATAAAGGCAAGGAAAAAACCATAAAATAAATATAAAAGCAGAAAGTGACAAGATAGAGAACAGAAAAACGTAGATCTAATTAATGAATCAAAATCTATTTTTTTAAGAAAAAAGTAGACAACTAGCTAACTTTAGAAGAAAGAAGCAAGGACTTCCCTGGTGGTCCAGTGATTAAAACTCTGTGCTTTCAGTGCAGGGAGTGCTGGTTTGATCCCTGGTCAGGGAACTAAGATCCCACATGCCATTTCGTACGGCCAAAAATAAATGAATCAATAATTTTTTAAAAAAGAAAGCAAACATGAACATTGAAATAAGAAATGGGAACTTCTCTGATGTTTCAGTGGTTAAGAATCTGCCTTCCAATGCAGGGAATGAGGATTTGATCCCTGGTTGGGGAACTAAGATCTCACTTGCTATGGGTCAACTAAGCCCACATGCTACAACCAACACCTAGTGTAGCCAAAAATAAATAAATGAATAAAATATTTTAAAAAATAGGAAATGACAAAGAGGAAATGTCCACTGAAACAAAAGAAAAAATTTTAAAACCTCCATGTAAATGAATACATTTAGAATTGGCTAATTTCCAAGGAAAATGCAATTTGTCCGAATTGATCCAAAAGATAGAAAGCTTTATCAGACTAATTTTTATTTAGGAAATAGAATAACTTATTAAGGAATTCCTCCGCAAGCAGTGCTGTGTCCAGATAGTTTCAAAGAGTTCTAGTAAACTTGCAAAGACCAGACAGTTCCAATGCTACATAAAATTTTCCAAAGCATAGATAATGAAAGAAGACTTCCAAATTCTTTTTATGTGGCAAACAACCTAATAAAATGCCATAAAAATAAATTTAAGGACTAATATCATGATTATCAGTGCAAATATCCTATGTAATTATTAGCAAACCAAAGGATTCAACTACTGATACATATAACATCATTAATGAACCTATAAAGCGTTGTGCCAAGTGAAAGGAGCCAAAAGATGCAAAGGACCACAGATTGTATGATCCTATTCATATGCAATTTCTAGAAGAAGCAAAATTATAGAGATAAAGAGCAAATAATTAGTTACTTGTGATTTAGAGTGTATGTTGACAGCTAATAGGCATAAAGAAATTTGGGGGTTGATGGAATTCTCACAGAACTATACTGCGTCTGATGGTAGCACAACTCTTTAAATTTACTAAAACTTAAAACTGTACACATACACTGAGTGAATTTGATGGTATATCTCAA